GCCGTGCCGCTGGCGAGCGCCCTGCGCGCCCGCCGGGACGGGGACTCGGCGCCCGCCCCCCAGCTGCTCTACAACCGCCCGGCCGAGGGGGCCGCGGGCGCCCAGCGCTGGGCCAACCGGGGGGGCCTCGTGGCCTACGTGCACCCCCAGCACCTGGAGGCCGTGCTGGCCGCACTGGCCACCGTGCCGGGGCTCTGAGCCCTTCTTTGGCTGGGGGGCGGCAATGGGGCCCTGTAGGGCGCAGGGAGCCAACGCGTGGGGCAGCCAGGCCCCCGGTGTGGGGCGGTCCTGGACCCCCCCACAGGCACCCCCAGCACTGCCCACCCCCAAACTGTTCCTATCCCGGCAGTATTAAAGTGTCCTTGTCACCGCCACGTCTGTGCTGTCCTGGGGACACCGAGGGGAGGGACGCGGTGGGACAGGGAAGGGGAGGGCTGGAGCGTGGAGGAGGCAGCAGTGGGGCAGGGACGCGGGGGAGGGATGTGGGGCGGGACGGCGGCCCCGTCGCGGGCCGATGTGGGGCGGGATGGGAGCCCCGTCGACGGGGACCCCACGGGACACGCGAGGGGGACACGCGGGCCGGGCCGCTGCGGTTCCGGCGCCCCGTCGGGGCCGCGCGCACTGGGCGGCAGCGGGGCCGGGGCGGTACCGGGGCCGGTGCCAGGGCGGTACCGGGCGGGGCGGGGCCGGGGCCCGGGTTTCCTGTTGACTCGCGATCCCGTCACATGATCTTGAAGTGAACGGAGCGGGCGGCGGAGCAGCGGCGCCGGTGAGCGGGGCCGGGAACCGGGAGCGGGAATCGAGAGCGGGAACCAGGAACGGGAACCGAGGCCGGCTCAGACCGCGGCTTTCTCCCCACTTCGCCCCGTCGGGGCGAGCGGGCTGGACGCGGGGCGGTGCCGTCTCGTCCCGTCCCGTCCCGTCCCGGGGGCCGTTTCCGAGGTGCCGCTTCCCGCAGGAACGGTCATGGCCATGGAGGGCGGCATGAAGTGCGTCAAGTTCCTCGTTTTCGTCTTTAATTTCATCTTCTGGGTGAGTCGCGGCGGGCGCTGCCGCCCGGCCCCCGCCTTGGCCGCCCCCAGCGCCTCCCTGCGTCGCGTTCCCCGCGGGACGCGGGGCGGGTCGCGCTGTGGGGCGAGCTCGGGACAGCTCCAGAGCCGTGGGGCCAAGGGGGATGTTGGAAGGAGGGAGTTTGCCCACCCTGGGAGCAAGCCGGGCTGCTAATGCCGTCAGTAGGTTCCAGGGGTAACACGTTTGGGCAGGCAAGGTGGGCGCACCCTGGTTGGGGCAGGGAGCAGGAGGCAGCACCCCAAAGTGGGGCGGAGATGCCCCTTGGGTAGAGGGGGGACCCGCGAGGCCCCGTCCCGTTCCCGGCACCCGGAGCGGGGCCAGGGCGGCCGTGCCCCCTCCCCCAGGCAGGACGTGGCTTTGGGGAAGTCGGGGTGAGGAAAGAGCCGCGGGGGCCACCAACGGCCGGGGGGACAGCGGGGAGCCCGCCCGGCCGCCCGCCCCGCGACGAAGCCGGAGGATGGGAATGACTCGTCCCATCCTGGTCCCACCCTGATCCTGCCGGGCTGAGTCACCCTTGGCGGGGGGGGGCTT